ATTATGCACATCGGTCCCACATAAGAAGTACAGCTGACTTAATTCCTCTCTTTCCCTAAAGTAATCAATGCTTGTCTGATCAAAATATATTGTTTTATTTTCACTTAAGATTAGCCTCCTTGAAAAATTATGTTAATATATATTAGCATAATATCAATGTATTACGTAATGTCAAGTTTTTTTGTCAACAATATTTTATTTTGATTGCCAGTATTACTCAAAGGTATTATGTAACACAAAAGGCAACATAATTATGTTCCTGTTACACAAGTTATTGCTTCATCCATCCATTTTCTTTTACCCACTTCTTCCTTTCAGGGTCACTGGTGTCCATATCCAGCAGTCACTGTGTGAGAGAGGGATACAAGTCCATCACAGGGACACATGGACACAACCATTCACTCTTGTTGATCAAGCTAGTGTTGGTCCGATCATTCTGTGAGGTGTGAGGCAGAATGACGCACGGCGCAGGCAAAAATCCAAAGAGAAAAATAAAGTTTAATAAACAAAAGAGGGCTGAAAAGCAGCTCAAAAACTCACTGATTACTTCTCAGGGAAACACGAGGAACACATCAGACTGGCTGGGGCAGACAGCAAAACGATTGGACAAACACTGAAGACAGGACACAGAATATAAAAGGGAGAACTTAATGAGACAACAAGAAACACCTGGAGGAGACACAAGAGGAATCAGGTGAGCAGGGGCGGGGCAGGAGGAATGACAGAACACACAGGGAAACACTGAAACTAAAGCAGAAAACACACAGACTGTGACAAATTAAGCTAATATTCATGTCTGTAGGGAGAAACCAGAGTATGGAGAGAACATGCAAACTCCACACAGAAATGCTGGGAGGCAAACCTGTGACTTTCCAGTTGTGAGGTGACAGCTCTAACCTGTGAACTGCCATCCCTGAAAAAAAAAAAAATCAAACAAAAATAGAAATAAACCTATACAGTCTGTGCTCATGACTTTTAAATCCTCACCTAGACTCTTAAAGATTAAAGTGTCTGTTCGGCCTAAAGGTTTGACCTGGTAATGTTCTGTCCAACAGTGAAATGGGATTACTAACTCAACAAACAAGGTACGACCTACGAGCCATAACAAGCACACATCCTGTAGATCAATATTGGATTTTGTGTGCAGATTATGACACTTTCTCACTCACACCTGGGGACAATTTGGAGTTACCAGTTATATAACATGAAAAATTTTGATATGTAGGAGGAAACTGGTAA